TCTTCCTTGTTTTTTCTTACCTAAAATTCTTGGATTGTCCTCTCTTTTCAGAAATGATTTATGTTTTAAAAGACCAGGAGGTACAAAGTCAAACATTTAATTGTTTTAATTGTTTCTTAAATGTTTGTCTTATTTCTGCCCTCCATTGGCCAGCAGGCATCTCTGCCTCTGAGCCAAATGATTTTCTCAGTTACCCTGGTATAAATCCAGCATTAACCTCTTCAGCTTCAGTGTGGCTGAAAGTCTGTCATCTGCTACAGCTTATTAAAATGCCACCTCTTTGCTGAAGTCCACCAGTGTAAAGCAAATTCAGCAATTCAGCTCAGGTGAGGACATTGATGATTGCAGGTTAACCACCAAAACAGAAATTTATGATTTGGGCTCACTGGGACATAAATCTGTGTGGGTTTTCTTTTTCTTTCCAAATTTCATTCCATAATTTGGCAGAAACTTGAAACTGAATGGAGTCTTTTAAATGGGAGTTTTGTCCCCAGCTTACACCAGTGGGACCTGCTGGAAAGAGCACAGACTTGCTGTGTGTGCAGGCTCCTGGGTGCCTTTGTGTCACTGAGACACAACCAGAATGGCAGCAGAGACAGGTTCTCTCTGGGCAGGATCAGCCCTTCCTGCCCTCTGCTCCTTGGCTTTGCTTCTCAGACTCTGCATCCTGAGTAGGGGGTTTCACCATACACTGTGTGAACGGCCTGTGGGGTTAATAATAGTGTTCCAATTGCATTGGGCTCCTGCACTCAGTCTTTGGCTGAGAAAATAAAATAACCTTACAGGAAATCCAAGAAAGAAGATTTCCAAGTGTTTCCTCCTTTTTTCTCGGAAACTCCCACATCTCCTAAAATTGGCTTGTACATAATACATATAATATATATCCAATTAGTCCAGATCAATGATAACTTTTACGTGGAAGGCAGAAGATTGATTTGCTGTAGAGTACTAAAAGTCTCAGCTCAGAGTGTATCAGTGGAACACTAAGTTCATTTCTAGTCTTGTTAAGACTTGTGATTCATCACAGAGAATAAAATAAACTAGGTGGCAGGCAATTAGTGCGCATTGTGTGAACCTAATGGTCCTGTTTGTGGTGAGCAATGAGACACAAACCCATAATCAAGGCATAATTTATCTTGGGAAAATTTTATCTGGGGACTGAACAGAGATAGAATTGGGAGTTATAAGCTAGTGAGTGAGTTCCAGCTTTCTAAACATCCACCATGCACGGTGCCTGCTCTTGAAGCCCAAAATAATGGTGATTAAAATAATGATATGGAAAATGTTGGTTTCTGTGCCACATCTTTTCATATGTTATCAGTTCTTCATTACTGTTTGATTCCAGCCTGTACTTTCTGTATTCCATTTGAAAGTGAAAGTCTACTTCAAATGTTTTAAGGGGCTGTGAAAAATATTACAGGACTGTAGTAGCTTCTGAGCTGTAAAACCAGACATCTCAGTACTGGGAATTCAGCCATGTCAAGTTCAAGGGAGGAGCTACAAGTCTCTCAATAGTGCTTTAAGTAAAATTCTTTTTAAAACATGGAGCTTCTAAAACTAGCTTATCCTGTAAGCTGTGCAGCACAGAAAGCATGTCCCCCAGCTGGCAACTGGTAATAAAGGGCAGATCCTGCAGCAGATGTGTTTAGCTCCCTGCTTTCCCTTCTCCAGCATCCCATGGCCGTCGGTGAGATGGCACTGGGTGCTTCTACCACATCTTTCACCCTCTGCTTTCCATTGTGGGCTTCGTCTGCATGGCAGGATTACAGCCCCACACTGGCTCCCATCCTGGGACTGAAATTGCCGATGTGGTGGGTGATGGGTTGGTTTGGGTGGAGTCTTTTCAAACAGAAGGCAGTGGCCTTTGGGTGAGGTATGTCTCATGGTGGGAGGACCTTCTCCAAGAGGAAAGCTGGCATTACTTCATGAATACTGCTTTAGTTTGTATTTCTCTGGTATCTCTAGGAAATCCTTGGATACTAAGATTTCTGAATGATGTTATTCCCATTCTCATATGGTTTGTGGTCAGCAGTGCTTTAAAGGGACTTCACCCATAGACTGAAGCACGACCTCCGGTTTGTCTAGGCCTGATACCATTAACTGCTCTGAACATTGCTGGGTTTGGGAAGGAAGCCTTTAACATGTTTAATTCTTGAGGATAAAGCCTGCTTTCCTGAAGGAGCAGTCCAGTAAGAAATACCAGGTGTGGCAGAAGCAGCTGTTCCTTACAGGGTTTTCTTTGCCCATGAGGGTGCATGTTTGCTTCACGTGTTGTGGTTTCATTATTTCCAGGTCTCTTGAGAGGTAGGTGTGATATCACCATACCCAGTGAGGGTCAGTGGAGTAGGTAGTGAGATCTGGTCAGGAAATTTTCTTTCTCAGCTTATTTCCATACATATTCAGTTGGCTTTGTCAGGAGAGTTGGCTCTGACAGCTCCTCAAGGCAGTCACTGCTGGGGTCTGATATCTGGGCTGTGCTGTCAGGTTTGATTAGCTGGTGTGCGAGGTGAAATACCTTGGAAATACCAGGCACTGCTGGGCTGATGGCAGAGCAGTAGAAGGCTCATTTTGTCTCTTATTCTGCAGTGTCATAGTCCTGTAGAGGAATTCATATGAAGAAGGATGAGTTCAGGATGTTAGGCTTTTATTCTACTGGCCTTGTAGGTTTTTGCTAGTAGTCCTCCTGTAATTTGTCTGCCAAATACAGGGATTTATTTAAATTGGTCTCAGGACCAAACAGTTTCCAAAATACACAACAGTGGTAGTAAATATCAGGTAGTTGTTAAGTTTTCCAGATTTGAGGGATTACAACACTAAACTGGGACCACTTATTTTCATCAATTCAGCTGAAATCTAGAAGAAAAATCTTTGAAGCAAACCAGCTACAATCATTTGTTACGCTTTCAGGAAAGCAGGTTCTGCCCATGACCCGTGTGAGGTTAACATGAGGGACAAGGACAGGGCAGCATTGGGGAAATCTTCAATATCCACATTTACTAAAAGAGAGGATCCTGTCTGCATGTGCGTGGGACTCCAGAGACCATCTGAGTGAACCCCATGGTTTCTGTGTAGGGAACAGATCAACTCATAGCTCGTCACTGCTGTTTGTTTGGAGATTAAAGCCAAAGAGCTTTAAGGAGGGCTACTAAGGTTGTAGTACCGGGTTGGTGAAAACATCTGTATGTCTCTCCAAGGAATGCCATCAGATGTCTGCTTGCAAAAAAGAGCCAAGGACTTCTTCTGTTCTTCCCTTCCCACGAGGTCACTCAATCTTTTTTGATACTGATTGCTTTTGATTTAAGGTCATGAAAGCAGGACCTTACAGGACAACGAAGACAGACACTTCAACCAGAAGCTAATATGTGACATTCAATACTGTGATCCAGCCTGCTGCCTTTTTGAGAATGGATAGAATGGTTTGTTAACAGTCAGCCCCATAAGTACATGCTGTGTAAACTGCTCTGAAATTAATGCCACCTGTTTATTTGCATGGAAACTACAACAGATATAAAGAGCATAATAGCACTGTTTAGTAGAGCAAATTCTCAACTACAAAAAGTACAGTCAACACCATTAGCTGTGCATTTTCACCAGTGATGAACAAGAGCTCCATGCCACGCTCATATAAAAATCTGCACCAGCAGAGATGACACACTGTTTCATAGCTGCTTTGATGGCATTGTTGCTGAAACACACCACCCACTGCTTCTGCTGTGCTCACAGCCACTGTTTGGTCTCCATCAGTGGTCACCAAGTGTCCATGAATGTCAGTGGGCACCATTTTTTTCTGCACGTAGGAATTCAGTTCCACCCCTTTGCTTTATCCACCCTTCCATGTCAGATGCTGTTGTGTCAGAGTGCCCCTCTGCTGCTGTCACATGGCAACAACATGTAATGGGATGTTGGTGGGAAGATTCAATCTCTGCTACCATCCCACCAATGGCCGCCTCTGACATCATGGGCCCACATAACAAAACAGGAGACATTACTTTCAGAGCAGCCCCCACAGACTTGGTGCTGGAATAGTAAATAGTTGATCAGTTGACTTACCTAAGAAGGGCAATTATGACATTTTCATGCTGTCTGTTTACAGATGTTTTTTTTTCCAGTTGTGTACAAGTGTTCAACAGCAACATCTCGTAAATATGCATCATCCTGTGGGTTATGGGTAAACCATTACAATTCATACAGTAAATATGAAAGCTGTTAGAGAAAGGAAAGGTCTATTAAATATTTACATTAGATTGTGAATCAGCTGCTTTACTGTTAGTTAGGAATAATTAAAAAAACAATGTCACTATTATGACAATGAGAAAATAGTTTACCAGAAGTAACTTGTATCACGTGGGGAGGGAGTACAAGGAACCAGCATCTCATGCATAAATTGTTGTAAAGAACCCAGTGTGACTTGTCCTGAAGTCAGCACAAGCCTCATCCTGACTCTTAGCAGTAGCTGGCTAGGTCTGTGTTGCAGGCTCCGTCTCTCAAATGTACTATACATGTTGATGTCCCAGGAGATCATAGGTCCTATGCATTGCACAGTCAGTGTTCGGTCACTGGACTTGGTCCTTTATTGACTGCTTTCACGTGGAAAAAAAGGAGAGCTACTGGAGCCTATTACATCACTGTTACTGTGATAGTACTCATCTGTGTACCTTGTGGGAGTTGTTTGAGAAATATAACTTGTGTCTTGAGAGCCCTTATTTGACACAGGAGTCTCAGCTTGCAGAGATGATGCTAGCAGCAGTGTCTCTGATTTCAGATTGGCACGGAGTGGGACGCCAAGGAAAGGCTGTTCCGGAATTTCGGAGGACTCCTCGGGCCAACAGATGAGCCAGTTGGCATGCAGAAATGGGGAAAAGGCCCCAACGTCACCGTTACTGTCATTTGGGTGGACCCAGTCAACGTCATAGCAGCGACGTACGATATCCTCATTGAATCCAGCGCAGAATTTACTCACTACAAACCGCCCTTGAATTTGCCCCTGAGGCCTGGAGTCTGGACAATAAAAATTCTGCACCACTGGGTCCAGGTAGCTGAAACCAAATTCCTCGTTACGCCTCTCACCTTCTCAAATCGGCAGCCTATCAAACAAGGTAAGTTTTATTATTTGTTACTGGAATAATACGGTTATTTTGTCTGTATTCATTGTAAATGCCACTGTTAAAAATGAAGTAGTGTGGCACTGGAAACTGCGAAAATAGAGGAATATTATAAATAGTAAATCAGATGAAATTGTTGCACCAAGACAAGTGAAGTGTCTGTATCCAGCCTGTACAAGACAGCCACTTTGAACGAAAGTCTATTTATATCTTTAAAATACACACTGTTCAAAATCCAGGGAAATTCAGACTCAGAAATAACAGCTATCATAGAAGTCATCATTTAGAAAGAAAAACGGACCCTTCTCTGAAGCTGTGCATTCACATTTGCTCGTAAAGTTACAGGCGTTTAAACAGCTATCTTGGCAAAGACTGTGTGTTTAATGATAAAAAACATTAATATATGAAATAGTGAATCAGGGAAAATAACTCTAGGCCAGAGCTACCTGACAAGTCATCATGTAGGGGTATTCACTTCTGCCTGATCCCTGCCAAAGCCTGCTCAGTACATGCCAAACACACGTGTTATAGAAATACCAATAGATGCAGCAGCCCTGGTGTGTGCATCAGACCCAGTCAGACTTTACACAAGGAAACCATTTTCCTGCCCACCACAGCAGCACTGAGCCACCCAAGGGCCAGCAGCAGCGCATGCACTGGGTGCTCAGCTCTTCATCCAGCGCCAGGTACGATGGGCTGGGAGAGAGAAGTACAGTCTGCAGCCACACCTGTTCTCTTATTCGCTGTGATCAACACAAGTTTGTTGCTAGCAATGTCTTTGCTATTGTTCTTAATGGCTCAAGTGCTTCCATCTGCTTAATATTAATATTCCTAACTTAAGAGAGATATGTGAATGGTCCTTTTAACTTGTCAGAAGTTCTTCTTCCTGATGAGGCAGCACATAAACTGAGTCGGGCCTTTACCTTCCAGCATTACGTGCTGCTTCTGTAACACACGCACCACCAGGCAGCTGCTGAGCGTTAATGCCGCCCTTATCGTGCTCAGCAGGAGCCTGATGCTACACATTTCTCACCAGGACAGCCAACATGCTGATTTCTCCTTGTAGCATTTGGTGACATCGTTTCTTAAGGAAAAACTGCACCACGGACAACCTGCTGCTCTTATTAGCTGCCAGGCAATGATACATTTTGAAAACCACCGCGTGTAGAAAGAATTTTAAGTTTGAAGCAGCCCTGCTTCTAAACGTGGCTGTTACGGATTCATCTCCTGCAAATGAATGAATTCCATGTTCTTTGCTAATTTAACAGTTGAGGCACAGACTGGATTGAAAATGTGGCACGTAGCCAGCAGCCTTGCTGTGTTTTGCTATGTGAGAGTACTGAGCAAAGCCAAGCATGTGTGAGGCTTCAGCCCAGCGTCAGTGCTTTGTGGTGAGAAGGCAAAAGCCCTCTGGTCCAAAGGCCAAATCTCAAACTATTCCACTGGAATCAGGGAATCCCTCCATCTTGCTACAAATAAGAAAGAAAAAGTTGTCCCATTGATTCACTGAGAGAAGATCTGGCTCATATTTCTTGTTAAAGAGCCCTATTCATATGGTAACGAGAACCTACCATAGGAATGAAATACAAAGCCTGGGAACAATATTATCTAGGAAAAGCCTCGGGAGTGCTTTGCTGATGCTGGGATGCATAATCTCCCTGTGGCTGAGGCATGAAGGTAAAGGAGTAAATTAATTACAGGGGCAGAGAGAGACACTTCACTGTAGTTAGAATGATATTTACAATGCAGATTTGTTTGTTTGGGTTTTTTTAAGGCTTTCTGTCTCAGTGATGTTACTGTGCTCTGTGCTGGCAATTGTCATTTAGCTTTGATTTCAAGCTTTTGTCAGTTTGTCACCACTTTATTACTTAAATATATTTCTCTGTGCCAAATAAAGGCATTGTGAGAATACGACAGAAGAATTAGAAGTTCTAAAAGAACAATTTCTGTTACTGTTGTAAACAATGTGAAAGCTGCCAAAAACCCTCTAGAATGAAGGAATAGTATTACTGTCTTGTCCCGACACTGAAAATAAAACATACATCAGCCTTAGCCAGGAGTTGTCAGCAGAAGAGAGAAGTATGTTTTATTAGGGATTCAAGTTTTGTTCTTCCCTCATCCCAAGTAAAAAAGAAAAGCTCTATAGCTCTTGTCAGAAAGATTTCCATTGCAGATAATTTGCTCCTCCAGAAGCCTTCTTCATTCACTTTGAGTATGATTTGCTTCATCAGGATCAGGCCCACTCTGTCTCACACATTCCAGATGTAGAAACCAGAGTCCACATAGGTACCTACATAACGATCTGCCCATATTTGTGCACAATCTGACTGTCTTTCTAAAAAATATTTGCACAAATCTGGCAGCAGCCACTAAGCCCTTGTATCTTGAGAGCAAGAATGTGACAACTGTCGCTGTACTTCCTAAATCACTGCATATCCACTGACCAGCACAGAGCACAAGGTGAAGCTGCTTTCTTTTTCCCAACACCATGAAGGCAGCAACTTGCTCCTCTCTTAAATAAAGCAGAATATGTTCATTCCTGTATCTCTCTCAAAATTCATGATTACAGTTCAAACTAAAAAAATTAATTCTGGGACCAGCTACCAGCAAAGATGTTTCATTTAGCAGTTTATAAAAACAGCATATGCAGCTAGTTATTCATTTTCTATTCTCATTTATTTATTAGCTTTGGCCTAGAGTTTGTGCATGCAAGTAAAGCCACAAGGGGAAATCAAGGACAGGTTTTTTCCTGGGATATTATGTCCAGATGCACATAACTGGTAAAATGCAAATTGTTTAAAGACAGGCATTTGTTGCCCTTTACAAGAACTGGACCCATAAAAGATCCAAGATCCGTTCTTACATGCAATGGTTGAGTGCACTTGGAGGGTGGGGATGTTTCCACAGAAAATGAGGCTCCCAAAGCTATTTCAGTGGAAAGTTTACAGTCTAATGTTATTTATTCTTTATTGCTCCTCTTTCCCCTCCAGTCATCCAAATCTGTGTCTATTTCCTCTGAGTTCTGTCTCTGATCAGTTCTGCCTTCAGCAGATCCTTCTGGCCCAGGAATGTCTTCAGGTCTTTGCATGTTTGGAGGGAGGAAATAAAGTGAATTAAGTGAATTTGTCAAATAACCCATTTGGAAAAAGCGGGTTCAGCTTCACTTAGTCCACCAGTATCTCCTTCTCCCTGTGTCCTGCGCAGCCAGATTCTGTTGTTGTTTTGTTTTTTCTTTAAATGGTGACTCAGAGTGTCTCACTGTATGGCTGAGTGTGTTAGGGCCAAGTTCTCCTCGCTCACTGTAAGGATGCAGGAGAGCTGCCACAGGCCATTGGGATGCCTCAGGCCAAGACAGAAAGGAAATGTGATGTGGAGGATACAAGACAGGGAGACAGATGGCTAGAAGATGTGGTTATACGCAAGGACGAGGGTTTCTTACTGTATGCTTTAGGCAGCAAATTCCATGGAGGTTGCATCTGCTTCTCCATCATCTCTCTTTCTCTTTGCTGCACGAAGTCTGTGCAAGTGCTGCTCCCAGGTGGGATTGCACACATCTCCCTGAGGCGCTGAGAGGTGCAGGGAAAAAGCCAAACAAATTTTCAAATTTGAGTTTGCTCAAGCTTTGACGGTGGTCTCCCAGCTGGAGTGATGCTAATGAGTTGCCATGTGTTTAATGTAGTTTTATAAAACCTAAATAAATTACTGTGAGCTAGTGGGCAAATTCACTTTTGGGACAGATGAAGCCCAAGACCTCAAGCCAATACCAAACACTAGATTGAAAATAAATAAATTACTTAAAAACTTCTTCCCCCAAGCAAAGAAGGAGGGAAGGAGAGCATCCTTCTGCAGAGGCACCTTTCATGTTTGGTTCCTGATGTGTTCGTGTGCTCCTGGCATGGAGCTCCTGCTGCCCCACAGCAGGACAGGGAGCCTCAAACACCACCCCATGGTCCCAGTGCCCTCCAGCTACAGCCGCCTCTTTCAAAGTCCTGGAGGCATTAGCAGACACCCTGCAATGCACACATACATCTCAGAAACCTGTTAACCTAATCCATATTTATGGATCAGCTTAATTAAGTATGTACTGGGAAACCTTTGTTTTGCTGTTGGTTATTTGCAGTGGCTCAATCAATTCTAATTGCATCTATACGGATTATAAAGTGGGTGGCAACTTGTGTCAGAACTGCTGTGATTTCTTTAAATTAACCAGCTATAACATGATACATTCTTGATAAATGTAGTAACGGCAGCAGGCAGGCCTGTGTCTGCAGGAGAGTAGACATGCCCTAGAATCGTCAGTCCAAGAAAAACCCTGAAGACAGGGATTTGCTTTGAAATTTAGTTCAGATCCAGTTGACAAGGAGTCGATTAGCTTTGCAATGAGCAAATGCAGCACTGTCTTGTTTGCTGCAAGAGAAAACAAACCAAATGTCGATAAAAAATTACCTCTTTGCCAGAGGGCTTCAATGCAATTCAAGTAAGGAAATAAAGCTGTACATTCTGTGTTCCTTAAAAAAAAAACCACAGGTCTAGCGCCTTAATGTGCACCGAGGTAACTGCTTCTTTCATTCTGTAGCCCACTCTCTGTCTAAACTCATTTGCTTTTTCTGCAAAATGAAGAACAAACCCACACAGAACTGCTGAGTTCCCAGCCTGTGTAGCTGACTGCAGGCTGTGTGCTCAGCCCAAAGAAGTAATGCTAAGGAAAGTCAGTTGAGGAGGGAAATGCCCTCCCAGAGTGAAGTGCAAATGGCAGCAGGGCACAAAAAATAACTTATTTTTTGAAACTGTAATTTAAAGTCAGTGAAACATATTTTGCATTGGTAAGTCTTCCACCTCAAAGGACTATATGGATGTCTTCAGTGGAAAAAAATATCTGGCTTGCTGTCTGCAGTCCAGTTAATTTTGAATTGGTTGCTGTGACTGGAGTCTTAAATGTCTAAAACCACATCTCATGGAGGCAGGCCTTACATTCATTACTTTTTTCAAGAGCAAGGACTGAAGTGTAAGTAAGCACTTCAAAATGATGCACAGTAGCTCCAGCCTCCCTTTGTGCAGTGTTTCAGGGCTTGGGATCCACATCTCCTTGCTTTCCCAGCCCAGTAGGTTATAAAGTCATTATCATCTCTTCTTTTTTATCTCTAATGCAAAGAGGAATAGCACCCAACATCTCCCATAGTGTGGATGAGCAGCATGGGCAGTGAACAGGGAGGAGAGGTCATTACTTTCTCTTGTGAACTCTTGAACAAAGATGTGGAGGCTTAAGGAGAGGGTTCTGGGTTGAACCCTTAGAATTTCCTATTGATGTGTAGCTCTGCACTGACTGCTGTTAACCAGCTCTGTCTGATAATATTGTTTGGGTTATTTTAAAAGCAAAGGATTCCCTTCAGTTCCTTTATACACTTTGAGCACTGTCTCTGCCGGCACATCCATGCAGCACAGCTGGTTCTGGAGCAGAGCACAGCACTCACTGAGTGGTGAGAACCACACAGCAGTGTGCAGGTGGGAATGTCTGAGAAAAGTCTGAGACAGGGCAAGTTCTGTTTCATCCTGTTGTTTGTCTGGAAAAACATCTCTCTTGTTCCACACAGCAAACACATGCACAGCAGCCTTTAATTCAGCAAGCTCTCTGAGCTGCCTGTTTCAGTCAGATGATCCTGCTAGTAATGCCAAATCTTATTTGTTTGGGGATTTTTACTTATAATGCTCCTATTTAATTAATATGTTGACAAACAATCTTTCATATTTAATTGCTTCCAAAGGAGGAAATTTAATCATGTGTACTCGTTCTGTTTCTTAAACTGTAGAGCTCTGACAGAGCACACTACTGACATATGTGCATGGAACAAACTCCTTTTGACTAGAAGTTATTCTAGATATCTACCATTTAAAGGAAAAAGGAGAGTAGATAGATATAGAATACAGGAATAGTTAAACCATGGCGATGGGGATCTGCTGAACTAATTTGAAGTAATGGACTTGTGCTGCATTTGACATTAAAGACTTTGCAAACGTAACAGCAAAGCTCCAATTAAGTGTCCCTTTTCCCTCTAAATCAACTTACTGATTTATTGCCAATGCCCGAGATGCTGTCCTCTGTGTGGAAGAAAGGGCTCAGTGTGAGCAGCAAGGATATGTGGAAGGAATTGTAGACGTGAATATGTAATTCCTGGCCTCTACATGATATCTGAACCCAGTGGCTTTCCTAGCCTGGAGCGCCCTGAATGGGCCCTTTTTGTGTTTTAGATTGTGTGTGTTGGCAGAGCTGAACATATCCTCTGTGCTGCCGGGAACAAGGATGGTAGAGAAGTCAGCTGAGAACAGAAAGAAAGAGTTGAGAATTTACTCCCTAGAGGCACTGAGTGAATTTTTTTGGAGGGTCACATTCTGGGCATATGAGTAGCACCTCAGCTACCTCCAGTAGTCAGCAAGCCTTAGACTGGGCTGAAGGTCTGAATGTCTTTGAAGGTGTTATCGCACTCTGACAGTGATTTTTACTAACAGTGTGCTGCATTTGGCTGAGGTAGAGGAGTTACTCTAAGAAAAGCAACCACAATGCAAGGGAAAGTGTCGCCAGGAAATGGGTTTGATCCATTGAATAAGTGCAAGTGCTTGAAATATGACTGTTGTTAGAGAGCGCTTTCCCAATGAGAATGGAGTGCTTCCAGCGATTATGCTGGGGTCACAGCTCCACCAGCCCTACCTGGTCTGTCCAAGGCTGGGATGCTGTCGTTCCAGTGTCACCACATGGCTTCTGGAGGCAGATACTGCATACAAGAGTTGCGACTTCCATAACAGGAGAAGAGGAATCTGTTCAGAAGAAAACCAGGCTGAGCTCTCTTTCTGCTAGACAAGTCATTGATAACACTTGAAGGTCTGACCACAGTTTCTAACATTCTCACCTCGGGTCTCCTTCAGCCATTCCCTCCTTTCAAAGCGCAGTCTGTGTGGATGTTGGCAGGGTAACTTCAGCTGAGTAGGGCGTATCTGCAGGCCTCCTCTCTGGGGAGAGAGACAACATCAGCTTTTCCTGAATGCAAAATAAGTTCCTCACAGGAGGGAACTGCACGGTGCTCAGGCTCCAGCTATGGGCAGGAGCTGCGAGGCTGGGCCCGCCTTTTAGTTGTGCTGAACCCTTTAAACCCCAAAGGTTTTCTTCAACACACTAATTTTGTGGTTTGTTTCTGCCTTTTCCAGAGGAAGCCATGAAATATCACAGCGGGCCTCCGAAGAACGCATACATGGAGCAGAGCTTCCAGGGCTTGAACCCAGTCTTAAACATTCCCGTCAGCGCTGCTCGTGTGGATCAGGCCAAGAGGAACGCGGCGCTGGTGGGCGCCCGGCTGGACGCCTGGGTGGACTCGCTGGTCGGCAGCGTCTGGTCGGCCGTGGACATCTGCAGCACCGGCCCCACTGCCTGCCCCGTCATGCAGGCCTGCACCCAGACTGCCTGGAGCTCCCTGAGCCCCGACCCCAAGTCCGAGCTGGGCCCCGTCAAACCCGATGGTCGCTTGAGGTAGCAGCCGGTACGCCCTCCTTCGGCACAGGGTTTTAAAAGGGAATTGAACCTTGCTCGAACATGAATCTCATTCTAGGTTTCACCTAAGGGAACGTTATACTTTTTTGTTACATATTGCAATGTAATTATTTCTTAAAAAATAATCTGACAAGGCCTTTGGCATTGCTCTCTCCATCAGTTCCATTGGAGTGGCTTGGTTCACCATGTGGGCCTCAAAGCAACAGCAGCATTGAGCCATGGAGAGGGCAGTGAGGGAACAGCTGCTAAAAGTGGTGTTTTTTAAAAATAAATTTGTCTGTACCTCTGCTGTTTCATAGGCTTTAATTATTTTGCTACCATAAATAAATCACAGCAAAATTCCCTTCTATTTATGCTTCCTGGGGAGGTTGGTTACTGCAGGCTGTATCCCATATGGCCTCATTACCTTACAGAACATGAAATAATTATGGTACACCCTCATTATTATTTTTTGTATGTAACATAAAGTAATTCTGGGTACAGCTAACTGCTGTGCTGTCTGTGTCATCCTAGTTAGGGAATGTGAGCTGAAGCAAGGGCCTTCAGGTTACAGTCAGAGGTTTTCAGACCAATTTCATGATAAACTCTACATGGAACTGGTGTTTTGCAGCATCAGCTTTTCATTTCTCATGTAGTCAGGTTCAGGGTCTGGCTACTTCAAGTGTTATTTTGAAAGACCAAGAACAGTTTGGATTTCAGACCTTTGGAATGTGCAGGATCTTTCTAAGCTCACCAGCACTCAGTCTTTTGCAGACTTCCTGCACAGAAGTGTGTGTATCACTGGCCGCAGATTGGGCTGTGACTGCTCACGTTCGCTGTTTTTTCTTGGGGAGTGGAGTTGCTCAGTACCAGTAAAACAGTGGCATTTGGCCTTTGCAGTTTAGAGTTGGAGATTATTTTTATCAGTGAGAGCAAGATTGGGACCTAAATCTGCAAGACATTTCTTCCCTAACTTGAGTAGTGAAAAATAAGTAAGTCTTAACACTAATTTCCTCCTTTGGTCTCAGATCTGCTAGCTCTGCATGAAGAAGGGTATTTAAAATAGCACCTAGAAGGCTGAGCAGGATATCAGAGTTCCTGACCAAAGCTGGACATGAAGGAGAGCAACACCTTGCTTCTCAGTGCTCTTGCTTTATTCTCTCAGAAAACTCTACCCTCCCCTGTCCTTAGAGTTTCTAGCAGGCTGCTTCCTGTTTGAAATAGGCATCTGTTGCATCATGTTTAGCTGCATTTTCTAAAGCAGGAAAAGATTTCACTTTCTTATATTCCAAGAACTTCTTATAATATAAGTTTTATGTAGAGTCATCTCCAACTGATGCATTTTGCATTTACATAAAACATGCACTTTGTTGTTGTTGCTGTGGTAATCTCTTGACCCAAGAAAGCTATTAAGTGCTATTGGGTTAATTAGGAACAAAATCTTGTTAATTTAAACAGCAAGGTACCTGTTTACCCTTCTCTGTGTATGTCTAGCTCTCATTCCTGCTGATGAGAGTTAAGCTTCCACACCAGGAGGGAAATAGACCCTTAAATCATTCTGTAATCGCATCTCACAGAAAGGTTGAATGCCCTTTTAAACAGTGCTTGCAAGATGTCCGTGACACAGAGATCCCAGCAGCTCGTTCTGTCTCTCTCTGTAGCATTGGTTTAAAGCTACTTGCAGTTTGCTTTGGACTTAAAATTGCGGTGTCAGCTGTGCTGGCATGAAGGCAGAGCATTGAAGTGTTTATCTGGCATGAAAATGGATGCATAGAAGGAACAATTTAGGTATTTATTATTTATGTTTTAGTCAATGACTAATTAGTAGGTGCTGCTTTTGCAGCTTGAAGATTATGTTATCTTACTAACTGAAGCTGCCTTTATTAAGAAAAGGCCTTCCTCCCCTCACACCTCCCTTTCTTTTTTCTTCCTCGTTCTGACAGTCATGAGAGCTCTAGGTTTAGGAAAGCTTGTAGCAATGAGAGCTGGTTGAAATACTTCAGTCAAAATAATGTTCCTGCTTTTCAACTGGCTCTAGAGGTAAATGTTGCCAACAGGTTTATATAATAGAAATGCGGTATTATTACTTAGTATGTTTTTGGTTGGGTTTGTTTTTGGTTTTTTTTTTTGGCAGTGCTTGTTTTCAATCTAACATTCCATCATGAAGTTCAGATTTTCTGAAGGCCTCCAGTTCTCACTGAGAAATGCATCCAGGGCTTCAGTCACACAGATGCAATGGCAACTGCAGAATCAGAGCCCTGTGCTTAAATGGAGAACTTCATAGTTAGGGCACACAGTTAACAACCCCATCAGTGATTGTACTCAGTACAGCTGCTGGGGTACTCAGACTGCTCAGACGGTCTTGCACATTGGCATGTGTGTAAGGGTGCACCCACACACACATGCAGATAACTTGATTTTTAAATTTGATACTTTTTTATTCTTAAACAGGTGTGTTTTTAATTACTTTGTTAGGAAATTCTCATTGTTAACTAGATGGAGCAGAAGGTGACAACAACCCAGGCTTCTGTGGCTAGAAGAAAATCTGCCAGTCCTATCATTCTAAATGTAAGGCACAGATTAGTTTGCTGTAGTTTAAAAAGGGAGAAGAACTCAAGTGGTTGCTGAAGTATCTACTTGCATTCTATACTAGTTATTTTTTAATATTAGTTTGTTTTCTGACAGACAAAAAGCTCAAAGAAGTTGAGTAGCAAGCTGGCACTCCCAGCGCTGCTGTTACAGCATCAGCTTAAAACAAGGGGTCCTGCAGTCCTTCCTCAGGCAAAGCTTTCACAGAGTGCTGATCCTGAGTAAGGGCTCCAGAGTCAAGTCCACATAAATAAAAAGGGTGAGACAGTATGCTATCAGTAAATACTGTATGTGTTTGAAATCCTCAGTGGCTGAGCTGCTGTGTTTGGAACGTCTTCTGGGGTGAGTGTTGAGCTTTGGACCTAAACGACAGCATCTGCTGTAGCTGACGGTATGTAGGCACAGACAGAGGTGCTGTAGAGATAAGTCTGAGTTGGGAAGTGCTGTAGTAGTGCAGTAAACCTCATCTGCACTAAATTTCATCAGGAATCAGAGCTTGCTCCAGCCAGTGGGTGTGGTGGTGCTGCTGAGTGGCTTTTCTGGTCCTGAAATGGCAGGCACTTGGAGCCTGGGGTGAATATCATATATTGTTAGAAGAGAATAACTTCACAGATCTTACATTTGGTGAAAAGGAGAATTCAGAGCAGGAACCCACAGTTTGTACAAAACAAGCAAGTTATGCATCCCCATCTGAATGTGCTGGTGTCATTTTCCAGTCATGCTGGTCATTCCTTGCTGAATGGGACTCCAGCTGAAAGCCAGCTTTGATCAGAATCCCCTTCTGTAGCAAAGGGGTGAGTTTCCATATGCGTGCATTTGCCCTCTGTGTGTAATGCTTTGCTCATTTAAATTCTGTGCCTGCTCTGCACAGTAGCCGTGGAACACTTCTGTGATCAATCTGAATTACACAGAAAGGAAACGTGGCCAAACGCAGAACATCTACATACATGATTTAATGAATTACATCCAAAGTCGGTCTTAGTGATATGCAAACCTGTTTATATGGTAATGTTAAACCTTGAGGCAAATAGAAACAGCTCAAATGACAGTTTATTTTTAGAGGTGTCCAATTCTTTCTTTGATAACGTTTGGACATTAAGCGATTGTATTTATATTTCCATTTTCTGATATTCAAAAGCTTTTTAGAGTTGAAATTATGCCTTCATTTTTTGTGCTCTCAGCAAGCAGGGAATTTTAACAACTCCTCCATGATGGCAAGTATTATACAAGGAAGTCCATCTGTATCTCTGTTGCTCAGTTTTCATTACCACTGAACCTAGACATGGAGGAGTGTGCATCTGTGTTACAGATTGGCTTTCCTATGTATCAGCTTTAATGCACAATGCATGTGTAGTTGTTTAACAACTTAACAATGATCCTGCAGGACCAACAGAAGGACCAACTAATGTTTCTTCACCTTCTGTCCATCTCCTACAGCACTAATCACAATATTAATGAAGTCTCACTCTGTCATATTGTAATGACCAGAGTAGTGAGTCAGAGCTGGAATATTCTAAACCTGACTAAAGGGAGAGGCAAAAGATAAAGAAGGTGCTGAAGCTGCAAAAGTTTGACACAGTTGTGCAGCAACAAAACTGAGCACCTTCTTTTCTGCACAACAAGCCTGAGAAATGCTGATACCATGAGATCTTAGTTTTGACTTCCCAGATAAAAATAAAACAAAATCCAGATTTTAATTGTGGTCAGACAATGAGGACCAACTTTTGTTGATTTCTGTATTTCTCTTCTTTCATCACAGCTGTCAGAGAGCTGCCAGCTTGCTGCTGGCTATCACACCCTCCTCATTTTCCCAGCTCCCAGGGCTTCGGGACTTGGCCAGATGGAACCTTGGCCAACTCCATTGCTTTCTGTTGGGCAGGAAGTTTGGTACTCATGTGAGCCAAATCCTTAGGCTTCATCAAAACCCCTAGTTGTAAATCAGAAAAGCTTGCTTTTTAGAGTAGCCTTCAGTCAGATCACTACTAAAATATGTGAAGGAATCTGAAAAAAATAACAGCAAGTACCTTTTCCCAATTCTTGGGGCACGGTTATTTAAGATACGTAATAGTAGGTTTGGTTATTTCATCAGCCAAGACTGAGTTGGTTGAAAGCAGTTAGCACTGTGTCCCACTGTCCTTAGCTTCAGTCTGGCAGTGAGGAGATGATAATGATCTCCATGTGCTTTCATTTCATCTATTCAAGGCCTCCAAGATAGTCTTAAGGATTCTTAGGACATATTGCATTAAACCCATATTCAGTGGCAACTGAAAGCACTGGCCGATGTCCATGAGCAGAGTAGGAGCCAGCTGGCGCTGGAGGGGGTGGGACGCTGCCCTTTGGGGCCCAGCAGCAGTGCCTGGGACAGGAGGCCCAGTCACACGGGGTGGCCGCTGCACAGAGAAGCGGAAGAGGGCAGCCAGGATGCTGTAGACAGCATGGCATATAGAGCCTTAGCAAGGGTGGGAAGATTGGAGATACCTTTCTTCCTGTAGACTATTCAAGAGCTCCCTTCAGAGGTGCAGCATGGAAGAGGCTGGCTTTTGAAGGCCTTCACCATCACCACCACTGTAAGGAAAAGAGGAATCAGGCTGAGAGCACTGAAAATTGAGGCATCACGATCTTACAGCCTATGTCACCCAGGACCACAGCAGCATTAGGTTTCCTGCAGTCGAGCAATTAACCCTCACAATGTGAGGCTGCAGGTACTGTGTTGATTTTGCTCCTTTATACTACCAGTAGCTCATAGATCACTCTGCTCTTTGCTTCTGCCTTGGTTACCTTCTTTTGCTCATGGTGCTATCACAGCTGCTACCTCACTGTGTCTGCAAACACGTTTACCTGATAACAACAAAAAAAAGGTACCAGAAGTCTCCTTGAACTGAATGTACAATCTATGCAAATTCTCTTTCTACTTTGTTAAAACCTAGAAGTATTACTTGTAACCTTGCCAAATAAACAGCAAGATACTGTACAGGTGCCTCTGATAACAGAGTGACAATTCTAGGCGCGGTTCATTGCGCTGCATTTGTATATTGTAATGACTTTGCTTGTCTTTGGTTCTGTTGTAATTAACACCCTCAATCGAGAAGATAGTAATCTCTTGCTAGGGGAGCACCGTCAGTTTGCTGGGAATATTCTGCAGGATGACTGTGGCATTTATTTTCCTACTTATATCCAAAAGAAAGCACAGACGTGTTGGCCAGAATTAGGGCGGTGGTTCAGATTTTCTGTGGGTAAAGCCTATTGGCTTTGAATTGCTCAGTGTCTGTTCCCATTGTGGCATTCAGTGTGTGCTGCCCCTCAAAGAAAGCCTTACTTTCATCCTTTCTAAATGTGGCCTTAAACTGTGTTAGAAAGTTAGGTGTTGTCTATGTCTTGCTCACTTTTTCTGTTTGTTGTGGAAGGAATAAAAGGCACCTTGAGGTTTCTATTACAGCTCAGTTGTGTTGCTGTCAGCTTACGCTTCACAAATACAATAGAAATTGCTTACAAATGCAGTCTTTAAGGGAAGAAAATGACCTTCCCTTTGGGCAAAGGAAGGCTCAGACGTTCATATAAACCCTAGGAAATTATGAGCTCTGTCTTCTGCAACTTATGGTAGATAAGGAAGGTTGATTTAATTACCTACAAAGTGCAGACATAATAGCTTTTTATTTATCTTCAGACTGTAAGAGGACAGACTCTGCTCTCAGATGCATGAGACAAATACTAGAGCAATGTCACTCATTTTGGCAGAACACAGTAGCATTCACGTCAGATTTGTACTCGTAACTGAGAGAAGATGTATCCTAACAGTACGGTCTTAAAATCTGAAGAACTTCACCACTAGGGGCCAGATTTTGAGTGATGGTTGGGAATCTTAACAGTAGGCATAGAAGACAGAGGAGTCTGGCTGTACCATCAAAGTTACAAATGCACTTCCAAAAAATCTGGCCTCTGGAGCTTTATCCAAAGGTTATCCAAGTCTGCAGAAGCCAAGAACTTCTGCTAAGGCTTGGGTATGTTGGGTTTCAGTGATCCTTTTCTCCAAGGAGTACTGTCATGTTTCAGTAGCGCCAATATTCCCGGCAGGCTGCAGTGCTTTTAGGAATCTCAGATCCTACCCTGTTTCAGTATTCTGATGCATATATAACCCAAAGGCAACTGAGAAGGTTTACACAGCAAGCAAGAATTGTGAAACAAAAATAACTGATTTGAGTTAATTAAATGATTTTTCTGACTTTGTTATTTTGGTTTTGTTTGGGGTTGATTGGATTTTTGTATTGCCTAACATAGTCCATAATAAGTTATTCCTATTCTGTCATTTTCAAAGACTGGTGGTAATATAGTTTTAAGAAATAACTATTTTGTTACAGATCATAATATGCATAAAGCTGTACAGAAATATTTTGTAAGCTATTGAATAGGGAGAAAAAAACATGTATATACAGCAAAGTTTAAAAAAAAAATTGGAAAATCAAATGGAACACACTGAAAGATGTAGATATTTTGCTATTTATTTAAAGGAGTATTTTATGAGATATTGAAATGTCTTAAAATTGACCGGTGATCAAAGTTCAAAGTCAGAATGCTTTTCTTGTAGTAGAATGTGATTTTCAGCAATTATTGCACTACCCGTTTTTGCACCCTTTGTCTTTCATTTAGCAGAAAACAATGTGCCTTAGCTGTATTCTTTGTCAATGGGAGTTTGGTTTTTTTGTCCAATAAAGCAAATTTTTTTGCAGAAAATGAAATGGATGTATTAAATACTGTATTATACCAAAAACACTGCAGTTGTATATAAATGCTTTCTGTCATACTGTGTTTTCAGATGCAGAATTTTAAAATAAAAAAAAAAACGCTGTCTTTAGGAGTGGATGTACACGTTGTGTTATTTTAAGCTAAGGGAAGTCTTTATTTAAAGAGAACTTCATTATTTGATGATATTAAGGAGTAAAAATGGAATGAAGCCTTACTGATCTGTGAACCCCATGGTGATGCTAATTGCTGCCCAGTAAGTCTTTTCTTAGGCTCCATTTTGCAGCCATAGTAATTATAGAGGAGACTTTCAGTGTTGGTCAAGATGATGGCTTGCACATGTCACAGGGCTAATGTCACCATCAGTAAGAGCATTGGACACCACAAGGTCCAGAGACAGGTCCAAACTTTTTGAGACAATCACAGATGACTGTTGTTGGGCCTCTTCCAAAAAAACCAAGACATGGTAGGCAGAGGGGGTAGAAAGGGATTGGAGAAAAAAGCCTGTCGTAGCTCTCTCTTCTAAAGACAGCTACTGATAAAGTGCATTGGAGCAGTTTCTCCCGTTCATCCCCAAAGCATTCATCATTGCTAAAGAGGAAGGTCACAGACATACAAATGGACAGCTGGGTGTAGCAACAGGAATTAATGTTAAGGCCTCCTGGTTACAAGAACAGCAAAGTATATGTCCTTTGTCTCTGCTGAGAGGAGGAGCTCAGAAAGACACACATCTTCCATAGTTTCCCCACGTGTTAAAGACACAAATTAGCCACTGTTTAATAATCACCTGTTATAAGCACTTACCAGGCTCCAGTCTAAGCATGGTTTTCTTAAAGCTGCTTCTATAGGTTATGCTGAGGAAAACACCTACATTCTCCTACAAGTGGGGTGTATCTAAAGCACGCTTCTCATGATGCATTGCAAGTTTCTCTCCTAGTGCTGCTTTTTGATGTGGGATGCCTGAGAAAAAAAAAGAAACATCCTGGACGACCTTCCAGAAGTCTCTGACACCATCAGGAGTCTGCGTGACTTTTTCATGCACCCCCAAGCAGTGCTGCAGGTTCTCTTGGCAGCCAGAGCTGCTTTTGATCTTCTGTTTTCTTTTCACCTGCTGTTCTGGAATTCCACTTTTTTGGCACTTAGATGCAATGAGGTCTGCTTAAACAGAGGAGGGAACACAGTGCTAATATTTTAGTCCTGGCACAAAGAAAAGATTTTCTGTAGAGGGGAAAAAAATAACAAAACAGTCTGCTCTCAGTACTGAAGCCTGGTTTTATTTATATATGGCATAAGCACACTGCTTTTTTTTTTTTTTTCCTAGCTGAAAAGCTCAACCTTTGTTTTAATTGTCTCCAAATGTGTCATTGGCCTTAACTTGAAAAAAGAAAAAAGAAATAAATCAAGCTACCAGGTGCTCATGCATTTTGCTTTCTTTGCAGACTTCAGCTAGGAGCTGAACGTTCCTTGTGGTTATGCACAAAAAGCCCAGTGCATCTTGGAAAGGTCTGCCTGCAGCACCATGCTCACAGCCATGTGCTCAGTAGACCACATAGCTTTGTCTCATTGAGATCACAGTGTCATCAATTTTTTTTTTTTTATCTGCCATGCCTAATCTGTCTCGATCATGATTAGTATTTATATAGAGTAAAGCATACTTAATTCACAATATCAACTCAAATTGTATTGCGGATCAGGTGCCAGTAAGAAAGCACAAGAAGCCAAGCGTAACAGCAATGAGGTATTTCACTGCCTTCACAATAGGGATTTCTTTGCAATGCCTGAATATTTGACTTTTCTTCATCCATTACTAAAGAATCTGTAGCCTGATTTCTAAAAAGAGTCCATAAAAGATGAAAAAAGTGGGAGATTCATGAGGTTCTACTATACTTCAAAAACAGATGGGTAATTTTTTATTCTCTCACGAAGGATGACCTTGGCTGTTGTGGTGCCACATCAGCACTTCAGCACGATTTCTGCCTTCCCCTGGCAGCCCTGGCTTGTTTTGGGCAGCCCTCAAGCTATGTGGTTTCATGCCAGGTTCCTAATGCCACGCTGGAGGAGTCTCAGTCCCATATTTGTTAATACATTAATATGATCCAAAACGGTGCTGCTGTGGTCCCTACTGGGTCTTTTGTCAATCTGCCCAAGTGGAAATGAAAAGCTGCTTGAAATGCAGCAGGAATATGACATAGCCCTGCATTATAAATAAATAAAAATAGAAGAAAAATATATTCCTCTGAGACAAGAATGATGGTTTGGACACCAAGAACATCGAAGGTGTTAAACAGTTGTTAGCACCAAATCTTGTGACACAAGATGTGTTGCTAGGTTGTGGTCAGTCCCTGCAGGTCTGGGTACTGCCAAGACTTGCATCTTCACAGCCCAGCTCCACATGAGCCACTTGCAGGGGCTGCTCACATTCCGGCTGCCATAAGCAGCTGGCAGCACGGCCACGGAGCAGCCACAGCCTTGGGCACTTCAGTACTGCACAGTGCAGAGCCTTCAGGCTGGACCAGTATTTCACTCACGTATTAATTTGCTATAATAATTTAGTTCTTTTAGTCTGCTTCTCTAATTGTTCTGTTTTTCTTTTTTTTTTTTTCTTTTCATAAATAGACCGTGCATAAAAGATTTCACTAGAAACATAAAGTAGATTTTAATGCGATCTCATTTATGAACGTCTATCGCTGGGCACATATGGCCAGGAAATGAAAGTCTTCTTACAACAGATTAATAGCCAAGATCAAATGTTTCACTTTCTAATAAAGTCCGCCTATATGTGCTTTTAATTCCTTGCTTAATTTCAATTTAAAAGGACTTTTTTTTGTG